GGAAGGAAGGAAGGAAGGAAGGAAGGAAGGAAGGAAGGAAGGAAGGAAGGAAGGAAGGAAGGAAGGAGACACGGATGGATGGATGGAGAGATGAAGGTGGGGATGGATGGATGAATAGGTGAAAACATGGAAGAGTGGTGGATAGACAGATGGATGGATAGGAAGATGGGTGGATGGATGGACAGATGGATGGATGGATGTAGGGCCCACCCAGCCCAGTGCCACCTCTCTCCCTCAGCCCATCACATGTCCAAGCGGTGCCCATGCCACACCCATGTGCTATCACTGCTCTTATCACCAAGGCCTTATCACTGCTCTTATCACACAGGCAGCTCCGCTTTGCCCCCCTCCTTCCCTTGGAGGCTATTGAGGTACAGGGGGGTCGGTGGCACCCATGGGTGATGCATGGGCTGTGCAGGGGCTCCTCGTTTAAGAAGTGCCCATGGGGTGCAGGTGGAGCCTGGGGATGGGCACCTGTCCTGGTGTAAGGGGGGTCTGTGCCCCCTCCTGCAGCTCAGTGGGGCTCATGGGCGCTTTGTCCCCACCAAACCCATCTTGGGGGCATCCATGGAGCACTGCCCCCATCGGCACCCACACCTGGGGGTACATCAGGGTCCAAGTATCTGAGCCCCCATCCGAGTCCACGTGTCTGTCTCATGTCCTTGTGTCTGTCCCATTCCCATGTGCATTCCCGTGCGAAGGTCGGGGTCCCCAAGGGCACAGTGTGGATTTATTGGGGTGCGGCGCGATAGCAGCCCTGAGATACACACACACACAGATGGTGGGGATGGGGACGGGGTGCCAGCAGTGGGTGCAGCCCCTGTGCCCCTAGAAAAACCACTTCTTGTGGGGATCCACGAAGGAGATGGAGCTGCGTGGGGCGGTGGAGAGCAGCGGCGATGGGGCCTCCATGCCCGGCAGCACCCCAACACCTTCACCCTGAGCCCCATCCTCCGCCTCGGGCGAGCTCCCCTCACCCATCACTGCCTTCTCCTCCTCTGCTTTGGGTCCGAATGCCCAATCTGTGGGGATAGAGCTTTGTCAGCAGTGTGTGTGTCCCCATCATCACCCCATGCCATGCAGGTGGGTCCCCAATACAAAGTGCTGCACCCAAACTGTGCGCAGAGAGCCTCACCCTGCACCCATCTGGGGGCAGAAAGCAGCCCCTTTGGCCACCCTATTCCCACTGCCCCACTTCCCATATGGGCTCGGGGACCCCCACCCGCATCCCCCTCCCATTGCTCACCGGCAAAGTCGTGCACCAGGTCCTTGATGAGGTGCCCCACGATGGCATATGCCACCACCAGCACCAGGGAGATGGCCATCAGCAGGTAGAGCACGTAGCGGGGCAGGCGGATGCTGTCCAGGGCCGGGGGTTTGTACTCCACATACAGAACCCCATCCTCCTCAGGGGGGGACTGCAGCAGGTGTCGTGGCACCGGGACCCCCGGGAGGGCCATTGTTGGCTGTCACTGCGTGGGGGGACGCAGGGGACAAGCGGCATCAGGGTCCTCGTGTCCCCACTGTCCCTGCGCTGGGAGATGGATGGCACTGAGGGCAGAGCGCCCGCGGGAAGGAGCTTAGCGTGGTAATCCGGGCACAGTGAGGGGGTAGGGGGGGGGGCTGAGAATGGATGGGCAGACAGAGATGCCCCAGGATGCCCAAAATCCACACCTGGGGCGGTGCTGCAGGGGATGGGCATCTCTGTGTGAGGGGGAATGGGCTGCAGAGAATCCCCATAAAGGAGGAGCAAGGCAGGGTGGGCTCGCTCCCCCCGCAGCTGCCTAAATCCCCACATTCTGGCCCCGAATGCTTGGAGCAGATGGTGTGAAACACACTGCATGCTCAGAGCCACTCAAAACAGTGCAGGGCTGCGGGTTGGGGGGGGGGGGCAAGAAGCAGCCCCAGAACCTCTGGAACAACCTAAAACCTTCCCCCCCCCGCAGGGCCGGAGGTGCAAGGCTCAGTGCCTCCTCAACATCCCGGCTCTGCTGCGCCCACGCCAGATCCCAGCCACAAAAATGCCAGATTGGTTCCAACTCGGACTTAAAAAGCGTTTGAAGAAGTTGAGGGTTGTTTTTTTGTTTTTTTTTTTTGCAGGAGGAATGAGGAGGAGAGGCAAAAAATTTGGCACCTCTCCTGCTCGCTCAGCACGATGCAAAAATGGGAGGGTTGGTGCATGGAGGCAGAGAGCAAGGGTTGGAGCTGTGCGATAACCAGGGGCAAACATGGCAGTAATCACTGCTCAGCACTCCCATCTGTGTGCTGATAAGGAGCCTCGCAACAGGGAGGCAGCACATCTGTGTCCCACATCCTGTGTCCACGTCCCACATCTCTGCCCCATCCCCTGCATCTGTGGGGTGCAGTGGTACCCAAAGCCCAGCAGTGCCGCGGTCTGCGTGGGGTGAAGGAGGCGAAGTGGGAAGCTCTGTGATGGCACACATTGGGTGACCTGAAGTTATGTCCCCACGAAGACCCTCCCACAGGGTTCTGGGTTGGAGCAGAGTGGGACAACACTGGGCCCCCCCCCCAGGGGGACAACACAGCATGGAACAGCAGCTTTATGGGCTAAGAGGATCGAGCAGAGTGACTCACAGAGACTTTGGTCAAGGGGAAAGCACCGTCAGCAGGATGCACTGCAGCACTGTGGGGACGGCTCACCCACGGGGCTGTGGGGCTGTTCTTTGCCCACGCTGTGTCCCCCTCCCTGTGGATGCAGACCAAGGGAACCCCAGCCACGGCCAGATCCCTCCAGCCATGCAGCTGCTGAACGATGGCTCAGCTCGCACCCAACGCTGCCACTTTATTTCCTCCCAGCCCCACACGTGCCCCATGGATCTGGGTGCCGGGAGCTGGCAGCAGCTGGCAGGGGCAGCCATCCAGCTCTGGTTAAACACAGGGGAAGTCCAGGCAGGCTCTGCCTCACCCTGCGAGCCTTCATCACAGCGCCATTCCCCGCAGAAAGAAAAACCGCAGCCAAATCTCCCGAGCTGTGCCATGAAACAAACCCCATCCCAGGGCAAAGGCTGCTGTGAGCACAGAGCCAGCCTGCCCCGACAGGAGAAGCCAAACCCACAGAGATCCTCCAGCAGCTGCAGAGATGAAGAGGAAGCGGGCTCTGCACCAGCACTGTGGGCGATTTCGGGGCATCGCACAGCTCCAACCCACCAGAGCCGCTGGCTGGAGCCGGCCCCGGCCCCTCCAGCAGAGTTCAGGTGGGAGAAGCTCGCTCGCTCCGAGGTGCCACGATGGGCTCCGACACGCAGCACCAGCCCACCCACTCCAAGCCCTGAGCCAGGCTGCGGGCGGGGAACGGCGCAGATCCAGGAAACAGGGAGCAAGTAGCAGCTCAGCCTGGATTTGGATGCAGGAGGCGGCTGTAATTGTGCCAGAGAGCAAAACCCAGTTCCGCCTCCACCACGGATCCGTGCCGATGGAGGCGAACAGGGAAAGCATGCCTGGGGGAAGGAGGCAGCAGGTCCAGCTGGGCTCAGGCCTGCAGCCTGCAGAGCCCATCAGCATACTGGAACTGGGGGCCGTTCTCATACTCGTACATGTCCAGAGCCACCTCGCAGCTCTCCCGCACCACCCGCTCCTCGTCCTGGGCGAAGGCACGCAGGGTCTCCAGGCAGGAGGGCCGTGCGATGGAACCCAGTGCCTCAGCGCACTCGTGCCTCACCATGGGGTTCTCAGCACGGCTGCACAGTGCAGCAGTCAGCTGTGGGACGCAGGCTTCGTCCTGCATCTGGCCCAGCACGTAGCCGATCTCGTGGCGGAAGAGAGCGCTGCCAGCGCGGAGCCCTGAGGGAGGAGGTGAGAGTGAGTCCCCCAGACGTGAGCTGAGCCCCAGATCCAAACTCTGTGGGGCAGAGGAAGCCACAAGGCTGACTTTCCCCAGACACGTGGGGCTCTAGGGGAAGGGGATGCAGCCTCATGCCACCTCCTGCCCCTACACTGCCCCAGTGCTGACTGCCTCACAGCGTAACAGCCCTGCTGTGCTGCTGGGGATAGGGAAGCCACGGCACAGGATTTCCAAACCCTTGGCTCACACTGATGCTGGAGTGCACCGTCAGCTTCCCTGGGGCTGCAGAAGGTAACTAGCAGGGTCATGGACTGTGCTCTGCCCCTTTTCCTTTCAGGATACATGCACGCCCTTCTCCAGAATAACTTCCAAAGCTCAGAGTGAGGCTGAATTATTCTCCAGAATAACTTCCAAAGCTCAGAGTCAGCCCCTCCAGGATGGGGAAGCAGTTCCCCAGTACCAGGAAACATCAGTACAACCCGGCAAACCCCACAGAGACAGTGAGGGGAGGGGGGCTGTGAGACACCACAGAGCACCAAGCGCTCTGCAAGTAGAGGGACAGGCAGCTCTAGAAGCAGCAGTGCAAGCAGCCATGTAGCTCTGGATTTGGGAAATCCAATCATGGATTAACCTGTGCAGAACCACAGCGAGCAGACAGCCCCAGGCCAGCCCTTACCATCAGCCAGTGCCAGCACAGCATCACGGCCCCCCAGGTTCCGCAGGGCAAACATGGCCCTGTAGCGGTCGAACAGCGGGCGCGACTCATCCAGGAGCACTGCATGCAGTGTGGCCACATCTGTCTCCTCGGCGGGGGGAGCAGGATCCACCGAGCGGTAGGGGCTGCTGCCTGGCTCCTCCCCGTGCTCCTGCAGCCACTCCAGCCTCTTGACGGCCAGCTGACACGTCTCTGCCACCTGTGGGGATGGGGACAGGGTGTGGAGGCACTGCACAGGGCTGGGAGCAGGCACAGAGCTCCTCTGAGCAGCAGAGCTGCGTGGCTGTGACAGCAACTGTGGCTCCAGTCCCTTGTGCCACACTGTAGTCCCCAGTGTCACCCTCCCATGCCAACAGTGCTGACCACATGGCACTGCCACCCTGACAGCCTCACCTCCACCACGGGATCCTCCGAGTAGTGCCTCAGGATGTCCAGCACCTCAGGATCCCCAATGGCACCCAGGGCCTCACCTGAGGAAAGGAGATGTCAGCAGGTAGTCTCAGGGCATCCACCTTCCCCCACACTGACCGGTGTGAGAAACCTCAGGGATGCAGCTGTGCCCCAACACCCCAAAATCACAGAATCACAGAATGGCCTGGCTTGAAAAGGACCACACTGCTCATCCAGTTCCAACCCCCTGCTATGTGCAGGGTCACCAACCACCAGACCAGTGTCCCAGAGCCACATCCAGCCTGGCCTTGAATGCCTCCAGGGATGAGGCATCCACAACCTCCCTGAGCAAAATCACAAGGTTGGAAAAGACCTCTAAGGTCATGAACTCCACCTGACATCCCACCCCCACCATGCCCACTAACCACATCCCCTGGTCAAGCCCTCTTATCACTGGGATAAGATTACCCAAGAGCAGAGGCTGACCCTCCCTCACCACAACCTCCTTTCACAGAGTTGGAGAGAGCCACGAGGCCCCTTGAGCCTCCCCTTCTCCAGACTGACCCATCCCATTCCCTCAGCATTGTACTCCAGACCCCTCACAGCCCCACTGCCCTTCTCTGGACACACTCCAGTGTCTTGTAGTGAGGAACACAACACTGAGCACAACACTGAGCCTCACAGAGCTGAGTACAGCGGGACGATCACCCCCTGCCCCCACTGGCCGCATTACTGCTGACACAACCAGGATGCCATTGGCCTTCTTGGCCTCTCAGGCACACTGCCACGTCCTCCTCCCCAAAAACCACTGCCATGGCAACGGCCAGTGGGGAGACGAGGCCTGGCCAACCGGTTGGGCCAGGGGATGTGGTGACGCGCTCTGTGTGTGTGGCACACCAACAGGGGTGTCCTGCAGGGCCATACCTGCCTCATGCCGGACCATGGGCTCCTGCCGGCTGTCCTGCAGCACGCCGAGCAGCGCGGGGATGGCGGCACGGTCACGCATCTGGCCCAGGCAAAAGGCCAGCTCGTGTTTCAGCAGCGCCGAGCTGTCGGCAAAGCCCCGCACGATACAGTCGATGGCCGCGGGGCCGCCCAGGTTGCGGAGGGTGAAGAGGGCGCGGAAGCGGGCGGGAAGCGGCTGGGCAGCATCCAGCAGCGTGCGGCCGATGGCGGCCACCTCCTCCTCGGTCACCATGCTGGGGGCTCGGGGTCACGGCTCTCTGCTCACGTTCCTGTGTAAAGAAAGGATCCGAGGCGTCCGCGTGAGCCCCGCGCGGTGACGGACCCGAGAGTCGGCCCGGCGTGTGCGGTGCTGGGGCTCGGCCCCACGGGACGGCGGTGGGGGTGGAAGCGGAGCCGGCCGGATGAGATCCCGGAGAGGGACCGGGCCTGGGCCCTTAACCGGGCCGGAACCGCGGCGAAGCGGCCCGCAACGAGCCGGGCCCTAAACCGCGCCGGACCCGGAACCGCCGGACCCGCACTCACCACGCGCCGCCATGATGATTCCCCACGTGACCGCACCGGAAGTTCCTATAACCGCTCTTCCGGTTGAGGGCGATGGGGCCGCCGCCAGCGGAAGTAGGAGCGGACGGGGAACGAGGCCAGCAGCGGGGCATGCGCAGTGGCGGCAGGGGAGGCGCAGGGCGGTGCGAGGCCCGGTGCTCTGCAGCGCTGCTCCGTGGGCTCTGTGCTGCCCCGCTACCCCCCGTAGATGCTATGGATCCCCATGGCTGCCCCATGATGGCACCCCATGGCTGCCCCACGTCCCCTCTTGCAATGATTCCTTATGACCCCCCGCTGCTCCCCTTGGCAGTCCCCTCACCCCAGTTGTGCCCCACAGCCCAAACACAGAATTAGAGGTCACCATTTTCCCTACCCTCCCCGGACTGTGCACTCAGCCAAGGGCATTTCTGAGCCCACTGCAATCCAGGCCCCAGTCCCAGAGGCACCCAGCAGTACGTGCATTCCTGCTCCAAGCTCTGCACACGCGGGTATTTCCCAACCTGCTGCTGCTAATGGATGTAAAAGTACTCTTGGTTGTGCCTTCCCACCCACCCCTCTCCTGGGCAGACCGATCTTCCATCCCTGGTGTGAGATGGCCCGAGGCTGGCGGTGCTGAGCCCCTTGCAGGGAGCTTTGCAGCTCTTCTCCCACGCTCCCAGCTTGAAGGTCCCACCTCCTGGCTAGGCATCATCACATTTTGGCTGCAAAATGCACCAACGTGTGAAAATGGGACAGGCTGCAAACAGACCCCATCCAATGCTGACAGCTGGCAAACAGATCTCAGCATAGCGGGTGCCAGGAGGGAAAAGATTTGGGGCTGCAGCCAACTCAGGGACGTGGCAGCCACCCCACTGCCCCCCGAGCCCGGATCCATCCCCGTGGGAAGGCTGGCGCAGCCAGGCATGCCTGAGCTGCTCCCCCGCCCACCGCCTGGAACAAAGTGCTGAGGAAGGTGTCTGTGCCCAGCCCTGCCTTGGCACAGTGAAGCAGTGTGCCACAGGGCTCAGCCACCACTTTGTGATTTCTCAGCTGATAGCAGAGAGCTGCGTGCTTCCCTGCACGGCAGCATAGTGGGATAGGGCTCAGACCCCCAGCACACAATTTTAGTCCTGCAGAGCTGGGTTTGGAGGTGCAGTTCCATTCCCAGCTGGTGCTAGCCCACAGCAAGTCACTGCTCTGCTTCCTCCTCCCCTTCCCTGTCTGCACGCATTTGCGCAATGGGTTTTGTGCTTTGGAGCTCTGCCTCCTCACTTCCAGCCCTTCTGAGTCCTGCCAACACCAGGGCTACAGCCATACCCTTGTAATGGGATGACCTGACAACCCTCTCCCCGGCCAAACCATGACCCTGCTTTATTCACACAGTACAGAGCACATCACTACATCGGTCAGATCCCAGCAGAGAGAGCCCAGGTGTGAGATACATCCCTCTGCCTGCAACCGAGAGGCAAAAACCAACATGAACCGAAGGGCTGGCACCGACCCACAGAGCCCAAGGAGGAGCACAGTGCGTTCCCCCTGCAGCCATCAGCCCTCCCCACAGTTCTCAAAGTACTGGCACATCAGTTCACGCACTTGCTCAGCCCGGCCATCCTCCATGGCAGCGGGTGCAGGCTGGCAAGGCTTGGGCAGCTCGGTGGGCTCGGTGCCCTCCAGCCACTCCTCGTTGAATGGGTTGTCGTGCGCCTCGCAGACGTTGTGCAGAATGCAGCAGGCCAGGACGAGGGTGGGCAGCAGCTCCAGGCTGCAGTCATCACACTTGAGGAGGATCTGCCAGCGGGCCTTCAGGCGCAGGAAGGCGTTCTCGATCACGCTGTGCGCCCGCTTGAGGCGATAATTGAACTGCAGCTGGCGCTGGGTGAGGCTCTCATCCTCCTGGTAGGGCTTGAGGATCCAGTCCTGCAAGGGGTAGGTGGCGTCACCCAGCAGCACGTACTTCTGTGCCTTGCCCATGAAGTCCTTGGGCGGGTTGGGACACAGCCGGCCCTCCTTGGCCAGCATCCAGAGGCTGGAGCTCTCCAGCACCGCGCTGTTCTCCATGCTGCCGGGAAAAGCGGTGGAGACGTCCCAGAACTGGCCCAGCCCATCCACGGTGGCCTGGGTGAGGATGGAGTGCCAGCCCTGCCCGTTGCAGTAATCGGCGCTCAGGCGCAGCGGGGGGTTGATGGGGATGTGCAGACTGTCCAGGGCTCCGATGCAATGCGGGAAGCCCCAGCGGGTGCGGAAGATGCGCACCATGTTCTCCAGCTCCTTCTCATCGGGCAGACGGAGGTAGAGGGGTTTCAGCAGCAGGACCACGGCGTAGCTCACCTCCCGCACGCACGTCTGCACAGTGGAAGGCCCGACGCCGAAGAGCGGGCTGAGAGTCTGGTACTCCACGTTGGTGGCCAAGTGCCACAGGGCCACAGCCACCCGCTTCTCCATGGGCAGCGTGGGGTGGAAGTGGGAGCTGTGCGGGGCCAGCCCCGGCCGCAGGCGGTTGCAGATGTAGAAGAAGGTCTCCCGGGACATGCGGAACTTCTCCAACCAGTCCTGGGGGCCAAATTCCTTCAGGACCACCCGTTCCCACCAGTCTGCACTCTGCAGGCTGGGCCAGGCGCGGGGATAGAAGTAGCAGCTGGTTCTCCTCCGGCGAGCGATCAGGAGCTGCAGGGAGACCACGGGGCTGTGAGACAGCTGCTCCCCAATCCTAATTCCCCTTCAGCTCACATTATTTTGCCCTCTGAGGACAAAGCAAGCTCAAGCAGCACAGGATGAAGGGATGCCCAATGGCCCTGGGCTCCAGGACCTGATGCAGGGGAATCAAACCTTCGCATTCCTGGGAAGCCCCAGGAACCTGTCCTTTGTGTCCTTCCTGTCCTCCTCCTTTGAGTTCCTATAACCTCTCTGTCCCGTATCTTTCCTGTTCTCCACCCTTTTTGTTCCCAGTCTTTCACCCTTTATCCCACTGTGTCCCTGTCCGCCACATTTCTGTGACCTCTGCATCTTTCACGTCCCCTCTCCCTCACATTCCTACATCCTCTGCTTCCTCCGTACTTTGTGCACTGCCTCTTGTATCCAGGCTCTTATTTTCACGTTCTTCAGGTCCCCAGTCCTTTTTCATCCCCCCGGTCCCTACCCTTGGTGTCCCTGTGACCTGTGTCCCCTCTGTGACTTTCCTGTTCCTTGTCCTTTGTGTCCCCACACCCCATCTTATATCTCCCTATGTCCTCCATCAGTCACACCCCAATTTTTGTGACCCCTTTGTATCCCCTCTGCAACCCCTGCCCTTCATGCTCAAATCCCCCTTCTTCCCTGTCCTCCCTATCATTTGTGTCCCCATCCCCGCTATTTGTGTCCCTGTGACCCATTTACCTCCTGTCCCTTATCCTTCTGATCCCCCATCCTTTATATCACTGTACCCCCCATTCCCCATTGATTTTATCCCATTCTTTTTTTTGTGTCTTGTGCACCCTTCATGCCCAGTCTCACATTCCCCATTTCACCATCTGTCCTTTGTGTCCCTGTGACCTCTGCATCCTTCCCATCTCCACGCTTCACCTGTGCCCCCCATCCCCCCCGTCTCTCCCCGCCCCCAAAACCACATCCCATTTTCCATCACCTCCGGGTCCCCACACCCCTACATCCCCAGCCCTTCGTGCTCACCCTTACAGCCCCATTCTGCCCCCCGTCCTTTGTGCCCTGTGACCTCCGCCCCTCCCCACCTCCCCGTCCCCATTTCCGCCCCTCACCGTCATCAGCCGTTTCTGCCTCTGGCTGTAATAATGCCGGATCCACGCCCGCCGCTGCGGCCCGTCCCAACGCCCTGCCATGGCCCTCCTCCTCCCTCCCGCCCGCCTCGCCAAAGCGCACAGCAGCACCAGCAGCCGCTCCCGCATTTTCAAATCGGGAGCCTGGGCCGCCCTGGAAGTGATTCGGCCGCGGGGTCACGGCGGGGCGGCGCCGCCTCGGCCCGGCCTGGAGCAGAGCGGGGACGGCGCAGGTCGGGCTGCGGGCCGGCAGAGGGGGGCACAGCGGGGCTTCCCTCACTCGCTCCGTGTCGTTTGGTTTTATTTTAAGGGAACGATCGAAGCTGTCTTTAGCTTCCGTTTATTAGTGCTTGTTGCTGTAAACGCAGCCCGGCGGAGGAGTAATGAGCACCGGGACGGGGCGGGCCCGCTCCCCGCCGAGGCCCCGCGGGTCGGAGCAGGCCGCGCCGTTGCCATGGCAACGCCCGCTGGTACTTCCTGTATTCATTCGAATAGGCGGACGGGTTCTCCCGTCGTGCACCGCGCGGATGGGCGGGACTTCCGGCCGGCAGCGGCCGCCATATTGCGGGAGAGCTGGGGCCGGCGCTGGTGACAGGCGGAGGCGGAGCGGGACCGGGACCGGGCCCGGCGGGCAGGTAGGCGGGTGGAGCTGCCGGCCGGGCCTGGGGCTGCCCCACGGCTCTGGGGAGCCGGGTCCGAGCGAGGTGGGCCCCCAAGGCTGACCGGCCGCCCGTTTCCCCGGAGATGTGGGCCCTGGAGGGGCGGGCTGTGGGGGGGCCGGGCCTGGTGGGGCGGAGCCGGGCGCTCCTGCCCCGTGTCGTGCCCCGCTCCTGCCCCTTTCCGGCCCCGCTCCTGTCCTGTATCGTGCCCCGCTCCGGCCTCGCTCCTGCTCTGTGTCGCGGCCTCCGTCCCCCCCGTGTTCTGAGGGCCCTCGGGCCTGGCAGCAGCGCTGTGCCCTTCCTCTGTGGCCCAAACGTGGCGGGGTGAGGCTGAGCTTCAGTGGGAGAGCTGAGAAATCATCTTACAGTTCTTCGGGCTGCTGTCACAGAGCTGCGTGGGGCTGCGGACCGTTGGCGGTTTGAGCTTCCGCCTGCAGAACTCTGTGCTCTCCTCTTCGGGCTCATTGGGAACGGGCAGCACGTCTGTCCCCTGGGTGTGCTGTGCAGCATTTGTCTGAGCTGCCCAAAGTGTGTCCCTCATGTAGCTGCCCTTGGCTGCCTTGCTGGGAGGGCTTGGCCAGTCCTGGAAAGCAGCTCTTCTGCTGTGAGGCAGCTCCCTCGATCGTATCATGGTGGTGAATGGCAGCTGAGGTTGTGGTGTGTGCTCTGGTGTGAGAGGTAGGAAGCAGGAACAGAAACTGTGGTCGGGAGCTGCTTGTGTACGTGCAGCAAAAGCTGGGGCTGTGCTGCTGGTCCTCTGACAGCTTTTAGTGGTCTGAAGGAATGGAGTAATGCTTTGTGCCCTTTGTTGTTATTTTTTAATGAGTCGATGCTTTCCAAAAGGGAAATCGTTCATATGTTGGGTGAATTACAGGGTTGAGGTCTTAAAAGCATCTCCTGTGTGTGGGAAGAGGGGGAGGCAGCTGTCAGAGCAGAGTCATCCATCAGAGATGCCATGGGCTTTATTGCTCAGATGGATTTCCTGTGATTTATAGCTCTCCTGAAGGCATAGTGCTCATTTTCTTGTGAAGTGCTCAGTCTTATTGAGTTAGGGTGTTTAATGATGCTAGCCTGGTGTTCTGTGCCCAAGGTTCCTTGCAGAGCTGTTCCCCCGCTGGCAACCACACTTCATAATAAAGACTGATCTTTTTTATTACTGTTATTTTATGCAGAAGCAGAATATTCTGGGGCTGTCGACTGAAGTAGCTGCATTTTCTGAACCTTTGGTCCCATTTTAGTGAATTAACCAGGGGGCACTGCTGCATTTCCAGTAGCTTAGAAGCACTTTGAATTGCCTGTCTTCATTGGGGCTCATGGACAGAGTTGCTGGTAAATTTTTAATCTTGGCTTTTAGAGCACTGACTCACAATAAGGCTTTCGGTAAAGCAGAGCTTTTATCTGGAGCTGGGTGCTCTTAACAGCTGCTTATAACTTTGTTATGAGGCATAAAGGGAGATAAGCAGGTGAATGTGTTTTGCAAGGTTTTGTTTTCATTTAGAAATGAAACTGAATGACCAGAGTCAGGAGCTGTGGTAGAAAACAATCTGCAGGCTGCCTGTGGGTTATAAGTGCTGCACATCAGAGGTTACAGGGCCTTGAGGAGGCAACGTGCTTTCCCTCTGCTGCCCCACACAGCAGGGAAGAGCATGTAAACTGCTTTAAAAGAAGCCCCGAAGGGTCTGTGAAATGCTATGAGATGTACATGGTGAGCTTTCTTGCTTCCTCAAGTTCTGTTTGTCTCGGACACTTGGTGTGGGTGAGCTCTGCCCTCAGTACAACTCCTGATCCCAAAATCCTAAGAGGCACTGCCAGCAGCTGAGCTCGGCTCGGAGGTGAGATGCAGGGTTGTGGTGGCACAGAGGAGGCTGTATGAGTTTTGATCATGGAGAGGAGCAGGTGATGACCTCCAGGCTGTTGGCATTTTGGGAGAGGGGACATCTGAAAGCAGAACCCTGCAGTGTTGATGTGTGTCCCTTGTGCAACATGCAATAGGAAGAGATCACCAGAGCCAGCTCCTGTACAGCACACAGCACCACAGAGGGGATGTTTCCTTCCCATTCTGCCTGTGCACAGAGCAGGAGCCTGCTTCCTTCCATGTGCAGGAGCAGAGGGAGGTGACAGAACTTGATGGGTGCTGGGCCAAACCTGATCCATACTGCAGCTCTCAGCGCCTTCATCGAGCCAGAAAAGGAAGAGCTGCACAAACACTCTCAACATACCTTTGTTAATTATTGCATCTCTAAAACCAGAGAGCGTTTTGTTGCTGTTGTGTGTTTTTTTTTCCCTGTAGCCTCTGTTGTTTGTTTTGCCTTCGTAATAGGTGAACCTGTTAGGAGCCTTCCTGCTAATGAGGTGCAGAGCTTGCCTGTTGACCCACAGGCGAGGGATGACACAGCGCTGACCCCACAGCTCATTGCATCCTGACGCCCTCTGTGTTTCCCAGCCCGTGACTTCCTGTGCTGCTGCAGACTTTGTACTGTTTTTGGCTTCCCTGGGAGCAGGCGTGGCTCTCATCTTTATGAAGCGTTGTGGTGAAAAGGTGAAAGGAAGACAGAACTGCTGCCTGCAGGCGATAAAAAGGGGTTTAATGGTGATGCTGTGTTTTTTTTGAGAGGTTCCCTGCTGTGTGCGTGATTGTCGTGTCTGCTCGGATCAACCCCGCTGCTGTCATCTGCAGTGAGATGTGTGTGGAATGAAAAACGTGATCTGGGAAGGGAGAGGAGCAAACCTGCAATTCTCCTAAGTGAATAAAAGCTGGGAAGGAAACCTGGGAACCCCTTGGCTGGGGATCTGGCTCTGTGTGCAGCAGTGAGGAGGGTTTGCTCTTCTGTCAGGCTGAGCTCTGCAATTCTGCTTTGGTGAGCTGCACAATTCAGGAGGTGAGCAGCTGATAGTGCTCATCTCAGGAGCACAACGTGGCAGTCTGTTGGCTTGCCTCCTTTCCTTCCAGGTGTGGAAGGAAGGTTTAGGAGAACACCTGTCCTACAAGGGGTGGTGATATCTGAGCAATGCTCACGTGAAAGGGGCAGTGAGAACAACACTTCTCAGAGGAAGTCATGCATCTCAGAGAATTTTGTGGGGTGAAAGTCCTCTGGGCTTGTAAAAGCATGCCAAGAAGTTTATTGGTTTGTGGGCTTGTTTATTTTTCACAAAGGCTCCTTCAAAGGTGCCGTTGTCCCCTGGTTTCCTGCAGGCGTTACCTGGCACATGCAAGTGCATGCTGTTGTGTGAGGCTCCTCATGCTTCATCCAGGGCTCTGCCTCAGGTGTTTCAGGTGAGCACAGCAGTGCCCCTCTGCCATCTGTTTAGGGCCAAAGCAGACACAAAGCCTTCAGGTCAGTGCAGGGAGCTGATGTGGGGCTCTGTGAAGTCTCAGAGCTCATCTCAGAGCACTGATGGATGTGCAGTGTGTTGCAGAGCATCAAATATTTGTCACGTCAGCACTGAACTGCAGGCTGGACTCTGGCCTGCGAGGAGGGGATGGTGTTTTGTAGCACCAGAGGTGGAAAAAAGGCACAAATAGCACACAATGCTTTTCTTCTAACTTGGTGTGGATCTGCAGCATCTCCAGCTTTGGTTCTGCTGTGAACCTGAAGGCTGAATGCAGGCAGGTGGCAAAAATATTGCAGCTACACCTTGCAGCACTTTGCTTTTCAAATCCAGCTTGAATTCAGCCAGCTAGAAGTGGGCATTTCTGGAACGTGGACGCCCTGGAGCTGGTGGCAGTGAGCACACAGCAGACATGGAGCTGTCTGCAGGATGCACTGACTTACACAGGCTCTGGGAAAGCAGAAATTGCATGGATTTCTCATAGGACAGACCTTGTTTTTATTGGTGTGCTGCTGAATTTCTTCGCAGCTTTTGAGGGTGAGGTTTGGGTTTAGAATCTGTGTTTGTACAGTCTGGAACTGCAGTGTGTGAAGCTCCCTGAGCCCATGCCTTGGGTTTCCAGAACTCAAAGCAGCACACTGCTGTGTAATGGGATCCATGTCTGTATCTGCATCACAGTGCTGAGCCATTTGGGGAAGGAACTTCCCATGTGTGGCATCCCCTAACAGATCATGCACCTCGTGTGGGTTCTGCACGCTGCTTTTCTCTTATTCATGGTGTAAAAAAGAGTTTGGTTGGAATCCCCTGGTTTGAGAGGTCTTGCTGGCTTGAAAGATGGATGTGGAAGATCACGGGTAGGTATATGTAGTGAGAAATAAGCTAAAAACGAGGAGTGACGTGGGATGTGGTAAGGGTTTTTAATACTGTATATTTCTAACTCCATCATTGAAAAATGCCAAAGGCTTATGAGGTGTTTTTGGCTGTAATGCCATCCCTGGTGGAAGCTGATCACTGCTCAGTCTGGTGGCTGCGTCTGAAAAGAACATATGGGAGAAATGTGGGAAGTGCCAAAGGAGAGGCTGGGTGCTCAGTCCTCAGTTTCTGAGTGAGGAGACATAATATTTGGGGGGGGATTTTCTTCCCCTGTCTGTTGCAGCAGACTAATTACTGATTGGACTTCATGAGCATAAAGCCCTGAGACTGCTGAACTCCCCAACCCTGATCCTTCCAGCATGGACCAGGATTATGAGAGACGTCTCCTGCGCCAGATCAACATACAGAATGAGAACACGATGCCTTGTGTAAGTACAAATGTCTGTGCCCACTGATCTTAGCCTGGCTGTTAAGCTCTGCTCTGCGTTTCCTTTCTCTTGAGCTTTGGAAGACGTGGGGACCTGTCTGTTGTTGGGCTGTAAGCAGGTGTGAGTTCCTGAGCTGTTCGAGGGGGAAC